GCTTCTACTTCTTAATCTCAAAAGCTCGTTTAATAGTATTTCTTTCTTAAACCCTAAACCCTCTCGTTCTCGTCTTGCTAAATACTTTCTACCCTATCTTCTTTCTATTTTCTGAATACTTTCTACCTTATCCGTATACTTCTACATCCTGAAACCCATTAAATATATATAATATATTTATATATATAAACTCCGACGAAACAGTTTGTCACAGCCCCTCGTTTGTTGTCCTCTTCTCTCTCTCTGCCTACGGTTTACCGGGCAGTTCTATTTGTGACGATATATATATATATATACTAGGGCGATTTCCCAGGCGCCCGGGTGCCAACTTCCCGACCGGAATGGCACCCGGGCACCTGGCCGGTCAGGACCCCCGGTCGGGCCCCCGGGCCAGTTTCGCGCAAGGCCCAAAAAAAAAAAATTTGCGGCCTGGGGGGTGCTCCGGGGTGCGTTGAGGCCGGTAGGACCGGCGTAAAAAAAATTTCGATCGTGGGGGGACCCGAAATGTGCCTTGCCGCGTCGCCGAGATCTGGCCGTCGATCTCGAAGATCGACGGCTGGATTTCGCGGGTTTTGAAATTCGTTTGCCCGTGCGTTTTCGCGCCGGCACGATGAGTTTGCCGACGCGAAAACGCGCGGGCAAACGACTTCCCCTACGGAGTCGGCCATCGGAGCCCGCGCGACGGCGACGAAGCCCCGAAGACCCCCTGCCGTTGCCCCGGGAGCCCGCCGCCATCGCCCGCCGGCCACTCCTCGGCCATCGACGGTTTGTGTGTGTGTGTGTGTGTACGTGTGTGTGTGAGAGAGAGAGAGAGAGAGGGAGAGAGAGAGTTTTCCAGCCATTTCTCTCCTCTTCTTGTTGTTCTTCTTCTTCTTCTTCGTCTCGTCCAGCTGCCCATCGCCCCGCCACCCGCCATCTTCTTCTTCTTCTTCTTCTTCTTCTTCTTCGTCGTCGTCGTCTTCGTCTTCGTCTTCCCCCCCCCGACTTCGCCGCGACGGCACCCATGTTCCATCTTTTTCGTCGTCGTTCGGTAGGTAGTGCGAAATAGGACACACACAAAAAAATAAAAAACGGCATCCTCCGATCCTCCTCGTTCCCCTCCTCCGCTCTTCTTCTTCTTCTTCTTCTTCTTCTTCTTCTTCTTCTTCTTCTTCTTCTCTCCTCCTCCTCCACTCTTCTTCTCCCCCTCATCCCCCTATCGTTTTCTTCATTTTCCTCCACCTTATTTGATCGTCTTCTTCCTCCCCTCCTCCCCCTGTCATTTTTCTCGCCGGCAAATCTTCTTCTTCTTCTTCTTCTTCTTCTTCTTCTTCTTCTTCTTCTCTCCTCCTCCTGCTCCCGTCTTTTTCGTCGTCGTCTATAGGTAGCGCGAAATAGGACACGAAAAAAAAAAAAAAACGTCCTCCGAGTCAGATCC